GCTTTCGTGGACTACAGCCCACTTCTGCATCTGCAGAAGTGGGCTGTAGTCCACGAAAGCTTATGCTCTAATAAATTTGTTAGTCTCTAAGGTGCCACAAGTACTCCTGTTCTTCTTTTTGCGGATACAGACTAACACGGCTGCTACTCTGAAATGTATCATTATAGCTTTCATTGCACATGAAAGGATCCTAACAAATTAAATATATAAAGAGCCTTGTGTCTCCCTCATATTTACACAGCAAAGACTAGGAGAAGTGTGGGGCATGCAAAAGTTTTTGAAGGAATGTAATATAAAAGTGGGGATATTGCACCCTTCTAAACTACAGGTAACCATAAACAGACACCTGTATATTTTGAGAACCAAATCCATCATTGACCCCTTGGGAAAACAATCCATAGAAGGGACAAACAATAAGTTTAAAATGACTTCCTCTGTATTTAGCCAAATTGAAATAGATATTGTCTTAGGAGCTGTTTAGGATAATTGGTCTGCTTCAGAAGTAATGATAATTCAGCTAAACAAAAATCAGCATATTGTAGCCATAATACTATAAAAACGTTTGGCATTCGTTGTAGTACTTAAGTACTTTACATAGTTAAAACTGTTAAAACAGTTAACTGTTTAGGGATAATAACCTAGGATCTAATGATGACCCCATTTTATCTATCTTTCTGGCAGTTACTCAAGGCAAATAGTTAGGAATGTTTAATCATTATAAAATTAACAAACTCCTTCCCCAAACTTAGTGGAGGATATTCAAAAATAAAGCAGCAATGTGCAGGGATTTAAACATACCATAAAGGCAATTACTATGATACAATTGTAAGGCCTATGTTAGGGACACACAAGAAAAGAGCCTTAGACCAAACATGTACACTTGGAAAGAGTATAAATTAGTGGTATAGGAGAAATTGAACACTTTAAAAAATATCTGATTCAAATGTCTAATGCAATCTTTGTGTTCTTATTGCTGTTTCTTTGCGTTTATGTTGCTATTATAAAATTGCAAAAGTAAGAAATGCCAAACATGACACTGACACTCTTTAAGCTTGAATTTTCATGTTTGTAGGTGCATCCCTAAAAATATTACCTTGAAACTTAATTCTTTAAAAAAATTGGTTAAAAGTTTGTTACTGTACTTGCTCTTGAGTCCCCCTGCCAACTCTTATGGTTTTACAACCAGATTTTCCTGTTTTGGTTTTGTTCTGATTTTTTAAAATGTTTCTTTCCCCTGTTAATTTATGAAAGACCTATCCATCTAGGAAACTGACTAAAATTCTGATCCTGCAAATTTTTCTCTGCAGATGCAGGGCTTTGCCTGTAGGAACAACTGTTGCAGGATTAGGGTGCAACTGAGGGAAACAGTGGAAGTGGCTATACCCAACAGTACACTAGCAAATGCTCAAAGTAAATACGTTTTAAGAATAGAAATATTTTTCTCTAAACTTGTTCAGTTTGTCCGCTTGGGTGTTACTTATAACGATAGTAAGTACACCATTTTCATGCAGAAGTGTGTTTTAAGTTGATTGTGTCCTTTAAAGCATAATTTAATTAATCTGGATTCTAAAATAATGTTAGGAATAATTTTAAACAAATCAGTTGAAAGCATTTTGTAAATATTTCCCTTTATTGACTTTGTAAGGGGATGGAGAGGGAATCCTAAATGATCCTTCTCCACATCCGTGACAATCAGCTTGCAAAATGTTGCTGTGAAAAGCAAACTAATGAGGGGAATTCATGAGCAGTTCAATCTGTTCAATTTTGTTCAATCTGTACAAATCTGGATCCCCCCTCCCCCGATGTTAAAGATGGTGGATTTAGCTTTTTTGATATTTTTAATTTTTTTATTTTCAGTACGATGTGTAAAAGTTCAGCTTTATTCCCCACCAATCTCCTCCTTTTGTTTGATAAACACTTTTGTTCATTTTTCTGTGTTTCAGTGAAGCTGAAATTAATATGGCTCTTTGTTTTTGTCCTTGTTTGAGCACTAGTACATTGGATCATTTCAAAGATGTCATCACAGCCCTGGGAATGGGGTTAATTAATGGATTTATGCTCCCTCTGCTGGCTTGTTCTGTCATAGTGGAACACAAAGCATTGCAGGTCCTGTATACTCTTATTTTAAATTGTTTGTTTGTCAGTGGATCAGATAACAGGAATGAAAATAGATATTTGGAATCCTGAGGACATTGCTCTGAATTATCATTGCTTGCCATCAATTTGATCTTTTGAGAGGGCCTAGAAATGAAAATACTAACTTGTTCATGTGCTATTTTTCCAGGAATACACCTCTACCTTGATATAACGCTGTCCTTGGGAGCCAAAAAATCTTACCGCGTTATAGGTGAACTTGCTTTGATCCGCCGGAGTGCGCAGCCCTGCCCCTCCAGAGCACTGCTTTACCGCGTTATATCAGAATTCGTGTTATATCAGGTTGCGTTATATCGGGGTAGAGGTGTATTTTGGTATAATAATTTTTAAAATGTGCACTTCAGGGATGCTAAATCTGATACAGGGATGAAGTTCAGAATCTTCCTAGATCCTCCTTAAAACTGACCTCTGTCATGATGCCTTCAAATCCTGCCTTGTCTGTTTTCACCTGTTTTGTCTTCTCTTATACTTAGAATATAAGCTCCTCCTGGCAAGGACTGTCTTTGTTATGTTTGTATAGTGTTTAGCACAATGGGCTGAGGCCTCTAGGGGTTACCACAGTGCAAATAAATAATAATCAAATGTTACCTTTCTGATGAAAGTGGACCTGAAAAAAGATAACCAAATAAGGTAGTGTTATCCTGTTCCACAGTTTGTCATAGTATGGATGGATTCTGAAGGATGAACATTCATTCCTACACTTTTATAGCTGTGTAGTTTCCTCTGGGCTGTTCCTGGAAAAATAATAAATGATTTGCACAGAGAGCCTTGCACAGGAATCTGAGGTTATATTTAGAACATATGGTGAGGGGTGGGACAAAAATAATATATTGCAAATTGTATAGTTCCTGGAAGGTTTGCTTCACCAACTGTCAGAGAATTCAGAAACTAAGTGGGAGATTGCTTTGATAACAGGTGTAACTATAAGCTAACATCTTTCCAAAACAAGTTTTTATTCCCCCGTATGGGAATTTTCTATTCTCTTTAGAGAGGGAAAGGATGGACCTATGATCAGGTTGGGAATTAATTTTCCTTCGACAACAGAAGCACTTGTAGTGTACAACTAGCAGATTCTAAAACAGTTGGGTGCTATTAAAGCTGACAACGCAGTAGGTCAGATATTGTGAAATAATGAGCTTCAAAGGATGTTTGATTAATTTAGACTTAATAAAAAACAAAAAGAGCCCTGATATTAAAGTAAAAAATGCCAATTCATAACAAAATACTGTAGCAAACTACACCATCTACTGGCAATAGCTAACCACTGCAGTGGGGATGGGAAACCCACTGTAATAAAGAATACTGTACTCTCGTATCACCTAGCAGGCAGGAAGTCGTTAACTAGGACATTTGTGAATTTTTCATTGGTCACTACATTTCAGAGAGATTTGAGGATTGTGAATTGGTAAACACAATTTCATTCTAGCAAAAGGTCAAGAAAGAAACTAGAAAATTATAGGCAAAAGACTCATTTGTGATGGGTGGAAAAAAGAATTTTTGAAACTATTTTTAGTAGTATAATGGTAAGCCTTGGACAATCACAGCTTTAGAGTAGCCATCATGGCTTCAGGTAGAGGGAAGTCGTATTTGAATAAGCTGCTGGAGTTCTTGTTAAATACTACCACTATGGATGAGAAATACAGTGACTATAATAGAGCTAGATTTTTTTTCTTTCAAGTATTTGACAAGATCCCATGTCAGAGATCAGTGGGTAAAATCAGATTATATGATGTGGAAAAGAAAACTAACCTGAAGATCAAGAGAGAAAAGGGAACCAGTTTTGTTTGTTTTTTATTCTTTGTTTTTTTTTTAATCCATAAAAGCTTATGCTCAAATAAATCTGTTAGTCTTTAAGGTGCCACCGGACTCCTTGTTGAGTAATGTATGGTATCTTTCTTGCTTGATATGGTCAAGTGGGATACATAAGGAGTCCATTTTAGGACACTGTTTCTAACATATAGTAAAAGTGTTATTAACCATAATTGCCTATCTTAATGGCCAATGAATTTTTAGTCCTCCTGATAGTGCATGTTAGTCACACTGGTGTCTTCAGCTAATTGCTACAGTAGCCAGAAAAGAAATATCGATGTTAATAGATTTCACTCTAAAATAAGGCTTTTAAAATGAGACTTCCAAATGTACAGTTAATGTTAGGAGTAGTACAGTTAATTAAAAAAACAAAAAACAATGTCGCTGTTCTTTAAAATATTTTGATCATATAGGTGGTAGCACCATTAGATGGTAAATAAAGTGGTTACTTGTAAAAATACTAAGTATAGGAGCAAGGAGCTAGACAAAGGCTTAGTCTGCACTTAAAAATTAGAAGAAAAATTTCACCCCATGAGCACCATAGTTAGATCAACCTAACCCCCAGTGTAGACGCAGCTAGGTCAACAGAAGAATTCTTCTGTTCAACGAGCTACTGCCTCTTGGAAAGGCGGATTAATTATATCCGCGGGGAAAAAACCCTTCCTTCATAGCTGCAGCTGTGCTGCTGTAGTGTTTGTAGTTTAGAGGTAGCCTTAGGCCTGGTCTACGCTGGGGGGGGGTGTCGATGTAAGATACGCAACTTCAGCTATGGGAATACCATCGACATATCTTATTCTGACTTGCCTCCCGTCCTCATGGTGTGGGATCGACGGCCGCAGCTCCCCCGTCGACTCTGCTACCACTGCTCGCTCCGATGGAGTTCCAGAATCGATGGCGAATGCGTTCGGGGATCGATATATCGCGTCCTAACGAGATGCGATATATCGATCCCTGATAAATCAATCGCTCCCCGCCGATACGGCGGGTAGTCTGGACATACCTTTAGAATGTAAAGGCTGCTAAGAGGTGTACTGACAAAACAATGGACAATCAATCCTGGGCATGCAAGGTGAATCTGAAGTTTCACTGAGCTCAGATACCTTTCTTAGCTATTACTGTGTAAAAAGTTGATCTCAAGAGATTCCTTCTACTCTTGAAAATAATAGACAGACTCAGGGCCATCCCTCGACATTGTGGTGCCCTATGCACCCCTCTTCTCTCTCCCCCCCCCACGTGCAGGGGGCTGGTCCCAGGCCTCCATGGGGGGGGCATCCCCAGGCCTCTGCAGGGGGCGGAGGGGTGGGGCTGTGCCCAAGGTCTGTGGGGGGCAAGAGCAGGCTTGGGGGGCAATGGGGAACCATCCCCCCCACCACAAGCCAGCAGAGCAGGTTGGGGCTGGGTCGCTCCACTTCCTGCTGCCCAGTAATTGCAGGGCGGGCTCAACTCCGCACTCATAGGGCGGCGGGAGCTCTGCTCTGCTCCCCTGGCTCCCAGCCTTGGGACTTTGGGGGCAGAGGGGTGACTGCCCCCCAGCACTCACCGGCAGCGCAGCTGGGAGCTGGTGGAGCGGGCTGGGGCCAGGTCGCTCCACTTCTTGCTGCTTGGTGAGTGCAGGGTGCGCCCAACCCCTGCTGCAGTCCCCCGGGACGTAGCTCAGGGGAAGGAGTGGAGTGGGGGTAGGACTGGGGCAGAGTGGAGTGGGAAGGGGTGGGGGCGGAACAGGGGCGGAGTCTTTGGCATGGGGGCTTTGGGGAAGAGGCGGAGCAGGGGTGGGGGCAGCTTTCCTGGCTAGCTTAGCTGGCTGGGGGATTGGGCTGGCCGCTGGAGCAGCGCACAGCTGCGTAGGGCACCAGGAAATTTGGGGCAATTTGGTGCCCCAAATTTCCTGGTGCCCTGTACAGCTGCGTAGTTTGCATATGGGTAAGGACGGCTGTGGGCGGACTTAGCTTTAATTTCATTCCATGACAAATCTGTTTGTAATCTCTTTTCCATAGCACTTCACATCTTTGAGTAGGTTCCAGGTCTTGTATTGCTCAAGCTTGTCTGTATTCTTATAGTGTTCACCTCCAGTCTTTTTACTTCTATGTGCCAAATAGAGTGTGCACAAGAGTCTATCTCTTGAATCATGTGGCTAGTTAGTCTGCAAATATGCCAAGTAAACTCCGAGGTCAGCCATGAATTGCTAGGAATTCTAAGTGTATATTTACACTGCAGAAAAAGACCTGTGGAAATAAGTCTCTGCGTCCGGATCAGCCAACCGGAGCTCGTGCTACTGGGCGTAAAATAGCAGTGTAGACATTTGGGCTTGGGCTGGAGCCTGAGCTCTGAGACCCTAATTTTCTCTCCTCCCCCCACTTCCCCACTGGGTTTCAGAGCCCATCCCCAGCCCAAACATTCACACTGCTGTTTTTAGCCGGGTAGTGTGAGCTTGAGTTAGTTGACCTGGG